CTCCTCCCTCCCCCCTCCCCTCCTCTCTCTCTCTCTCTCTCTCTCGCCAACCCGCCACCCCTTTTGCCACCCCTCTGCTCTCGCGTCATCACGTTGTTGCTCTCGGATATGTCACTATGCTACCGACATAACCAACCCGCTCTCTTCTCTCTTCGCTCCTCTTCCCGCGTTCCCTCCCGCCGCCTCTCCTCACCGCGTGTTATTTGCAACGTGTCGTACGCTCGCGCACCCCCGCGATCTAGCGCAATCAGTGCTATTATATTAATATTTATGCCAACCCCTCCTCTCTACTGTCGCCTCGTCGCTCCTCTTCTTTCCTCTTGCATCTCCTCTCGCTCGTGCCGTCAGCGATGCCTCGTGCGGAAAAGCTAATCGAAAACAAATCCACCGAATAGCCATCGACTGCTCGACATTTCCGCTTGTTGATTCTCATCGATCGAAAGACATATTCATAGATCTGAAGAATAAATCGAGGTTAATGACGATGTATTTTCTTTTTATGGGCAGTTGTGATCGCCCAATACATTCAATTCACTAAAATAGATATATACATTTATGTTCTTCTCTCTTCAAATTTAAGAAGACGACAAATTACACGCGTTGAGTAGTATTTTATATTAATAATTTAGGCTTCAGGATTGTGATTAAATAATGAGGAAAATAAATAATTTTATTTTGAAAAAATATTTAAGTTAAAATTTGAATTAAATCAAATATTTAATAACGATTCATTTGTTGTCTTCTTAAATTTGAAACTCGCTGCAAGAAAAAAAATCGGCTGCAAGTTCGACGAATCTATTATTAAAGGGGCAGACAGCAAACCTGGGACACTCCGTATAATTGCCGCAATCTATCAGGAAAGCAACCTGGTAATTTTAAGTAATGTCGCAAGCTAATACGAGTGTTTTGTGGTACACGAGCGTTTCTTACGTCATATGGCAAAACGCTATAATTTCAATAAATTTCAATAATTTTAATTAGCATTCTTGAATAATTGTTATTATCTGTATGTTACTATTATATGGCCATTCTTATTCCGTGGCGCACATTCATATTGTAATATTATACCGCTATTGCAGAATTATAATTGCAATAATATCGTATATCTATAATGTCATAAACGCGTTCTCCTTCCCTCGTTCACATACATGTAAAAGTATTACCTCGGAAATAAAATTTAGCAACAAAGCATTTTTTAATCATTATATTACACATATAAGATGGTTTTTATCGAGAATTCAAGCGTTCTTAAATAGTGAAAAAAGATCATTAACTATTATTTTCCTGGAAAGTTATTAACGATATACAACTCTTAGTACTCAGTAAATATATTAGAACATAAATATATATCTAATGATTAGTTTAGTGAATTGAATGATTAGTGTATGTAGATATTGTAGACATATAAAGTATTACGTTTAAATGTGATGACAATATGTAAATTATGTTAGAAATGATTATCAGAATAGCTTGTCGATAATCGTAGATTGTGAAATTACATTACACAGGCGAGTAATCTTGCGGGGAAATCAGAACGATTTGCGGGAGATCAAAGATCAAGTGAATTGTCTTTCGGAAAAGATAATTTCACATGAGCGATTGAAAGAAATGTAGGGAGCTAGTGTTTACTGACAGTATTTTTTTATAATATATTCATTAGTCTTGCTGAGAGACGGCCCATTTACGCAGTATGTAAATATATGCGCGATAGATTCGATTGTATGTAAATAGTAATAGGAACTCCCGTCCTTTGCATAACATAGGCGTTAGCACACTTCTAGCTTTTCATGCGCGAAGACGATTATTATTTGATTTACATAAAAAGCGTGGACCCGCTTTTTATTGACGTAGAGAGATCGCCGAGGAAGCAAGGAGAGGCGTCTTATGTATAACGTCATTGTACATTAAATTATGTGATAACTTCGAAAACTATTAAAAATTTTCACGAAATTATGCATCAGCTTTACACGTATTCTCTATGCTATAACAAGAACTTTATAGTAATATTAATTTGCTGACATTACGAAAATGCTGTGCGTAATAATTTGTAAAAAATTAAAAAAAAAAAGATATCGATAGTATGATGAAATTAATATATTTAGCATTCATCGTTCACAGTTGTAATCAACACGACAAGGAAAATCGAGATCATCGCTGTCTAATTTCGACAACCGGCGAAATTTTGCCGGATGAAAGATATTCTGGAATAGTGACAACGCCGCACAATATTGGCTAAGTATTTCCGGGTAATATAGTTGATTGTTTCGTCAGTCTTCTTCGTGACTTTGTGAGCCTAACAGAGTTGATTCGTGCGCGAGTATGTCGATTATTATATATTTCTCCTGCGTTTCGGCAAATTTAGAGCGCAACGTTAATCGGAATGCATGATATTTGAGTATATGCTTTGGAATATGTGGTATTTGAAAATGAGCGTGTTGTGCGAACGTGAATGCACGAAATTTGGTTAGATAGAAAACATCTCGGATTCATAGAAATAGAGATTTGTCGCAGGTTAGGTTTTTCTAGACGCGATCAGTTGTTTTCGTTAGTCGTCTTTGACCTTCCGAATCCGACGGATGTAATAAAGTGAGTTTACGCGCGACGATGTCGATCATCATATATTTCTTTCACATTTCGGCGGATTTACGGCACAACGTTAATCGAAATATATGATATTTGTGAGTATATGCTTAGAGATACGCAGTATACAAAAAGGAGCGTATTGCGGATGCGAACATATGAAATTTCATTAGATAGAGAAAACTCGGATTTACGGAAATAGAAATAGAAATTTGTGAGCTCTTCAGTATAGGTTAAGCTGTGTAGTATAGGCTAAGTTTTTTTGAGCGCGATCAGTTGTTTTCATCAATCGTCTTTGACCTTCGGAGTTCGACGGACGTAATAAAGTGAATTCATACGCGACGATGTCGATCGTCATATATTTCTTCCGCATTTCGGCAGATTTACGGCGCAACTTTAATCGGAATGCGTGATATTTGTGAATATATATGCTTAAAAATACGCAGTATTCGAGAATGAGTGAATCACGAACGGAATTGTGTAAAATTTTATTGTAAAAACATCTCAAATTTATTCTAACCTCTAAATCGAGATTAGTCTAAACATAGGCAATAATTCTTCAAGCACGGTCAGTCTTGTTTCACCGTTCGCCGCTGTAACGTTTGCAACCCTGCAAAAGCAACATATTAGATTTTTAGTCGCACAAGCCGCAATACGCCGTTATTATATTGCGTGTTATTTTCCGTATTTCAGCAAGTTTTCGGTAACGGACGTGTATGGTATCCGCGATAGGCCTTACTGCGGAAATTATCGCGATAAGAATTTCCGCGGAAACTTCTATTATACGTGTAGAAAACCGTCGCGAAATATCGATACTTCGTGCCGCATTGATGTTTACGTTTGAAAATTAAGAGTCGTGCCGTGTTGATATTTACTTTCGAGAATTAAGAATTGCGGGAATGCTCGTGCGAAGAATTTACTTCGAAATCGCGGTTGCATTCTTATAATCGCCGTCGCGTTTGATCACGAGTGTGTATGAAATATAAAACAACTTGAATATGAATTTGGACCGAGGATTGAGGATTCATACTGCGGTCGCCGGCTGACGAGGTTAGACAGCGTTAAATCTCGATTTACCTGACGATTGACTGCTGCGATAGACGTCACGTGCAGCTGCAAACAGTGAGTATTAAATATTTAGTTTTGTTCTTTTTACGACTTGTACTTTTTTATATTTGTCCCTTGTTTAAAATACGAAAGCTGTATGTACAGCATAATTCTGGTGCTATTAGTTTCTTTAAATTCTGAAAATTTTTATGCACAGTAATTTTGTGATTTTTGCTAGTAAATGTTATTACAAAGTTCTTACAAGCGAGTTTCTTTGACGAATGTATATGAACCTAGTATATTTTGTGGAAAATTCTATAAATAAATTGTATTGAAATATTTAGAGAAAATTTTACTAATAATGGATATTGGAATAATACATCGGTTGATTTTAAAACTAATAAAATTTTCAAAAATATTAGAAATGACAACACACAGAATTCTCAGTAGTTTATAACTTTCTATGAAATAATACACTAGTTTCACACAGATAATTTTTAGATACAATAATGCTATAATATTATGACTATTGAAATGTGACAGAAAACTTTCACAAAATTTTTCTTAATATTTCATGATTATTTACTTTAAAATTGGAATAACTTTATTAATGTAACCTTTTATATGGAATATCTGTTATTCTACAAAATTATTTATCTTAAATGCTACTAAAGTGAAGTCTTTTCTAAATTAATTAAAGAAATATTATTTTAATTAAAGAAGTCCTGTTATTTATCTTGCATTTGTTTAAAGATCAATTCATGAGAATTCTATTATTTTTTAAATCTTTAATAAATATTTTTATAATTATGATGCATTAAATCTTGGTGCAACAGAAAGGTTGATTTTAATTTATCAATCTTTCTGGACATTTTATATATTTCTTATTATTATTCTGCTAAATAATAGTTTATTATAAATGAATATTGTAAAAGTATCACGTTTCTTGGGCCATTACTTCAACAAAATCAGTTATAGAAAACGACATGAACGCGCGCAATGTACTCGAAAAATAAATAACCCTCGGATTATCAAAATAATATATCCGATTCTTACGGCTTGATTGCCCCGTCGAGAAGGTTCACGATGTCGGTTTACGAGCGATTACGCATTTCTTCAAGCTAGTCGAGCTCAGCCGAGCCGACCAGCCGCGAAACCGCGACAACTTTCTCATTGTGGAATCGAATTCATCTCGAACATTTAGTAACGTTATATCCCTGTATTTATACCCACGGGGATGAAGAGTTCACAATTTCGAGCCCTCTTTCGGATGGAAAACTTGCGATTCGTATGACAGATGCGCCACTCGAGCGCCCCACGGGCGTGTTTTTCTAAATTTTCTATTGGTCAACTAGATCGGGGATAGATATTGTAATCGCTCTCTTAACCGAGTAATCACCCTCTACCCCTGGGGCCTGGCGACCACCCTCGGTGCCACCACCCGTCGAGCTTCACCCTTCATGTTAGTGCTAGCGACGCTACGCCGCTCGACGTAAGCCAGAAACGCCCTTCGGCACTTTGTTAACTAATATTTATTGCCATGCTACGGATACAGTTTGTTTTAGAGATTGCATACTTTCGCTATTGACGACACTTGGCTTTTGTTCCATTTTAGAAAAAGATACAAAAAAATAGAAAAAAAATTACATAATTATTCTTTAAAAGTTTTTACATTTGTAAACGCTTGTTAAAAGTTAGTATTGTTTTATTAACATTAACGAGGAGAGTTTAAGTTTGCCTTTCATTGACGAAATATTCATATTAATATAGATAACAATACGCACAAGAAAATTTTAATTTTTTTATTATGTTTTGTCAAATTTTGAGCACATATACGCGGCAATATTGTTAACGTCATTACTTATTGTTATCTTAATATTAACTTAATTGTAACGTATGAAATAATGCAGTCTGTTGATTGGTAATTTGGACAAAGTAAAAGTTTTTTATCTCCGAAGTATAATTTGCGAGACACTTGTTCTCGAACTTGTCTAGGGCTCGTTGACATTTTGAATGCCAAGCCCTTTTCTAAGAGCCAACCCCCAACTGAGCAAAAATCAGTGCCTACTGTGAATTGTAGGTTACATTACGAAGGGCGGCGACGGGGCGCAATCGTCGATCGAAATCGCATTTCCGGAGGTACGAATTGGCTGCCCGGGGTGCCTACTGCTCCGTGCACGACGTTCTCGAATCTGCCGAAATTTGATTGGGCACGTTGTTAGAAGGATAACCGTGAATTTCGTGCGGCACGCGCGCGACACATACGCTCCGAACGATTCGTGAGTCTTAATTTGATAGAATTCAGAAAGTTTCGGGGCCAGCTGCTTAATTTTCCATTGTTCACTTACTGTACTACTACTGATTGATTCGTATTGATTTAATTGCCTCATTCAAAACAATACAATCGCATATGCAAGAAGGTGACAGATAGATTTAGCATTTTACAAAATGTTTTCTAAATATTTGTTGTTCGATCTCAATTACATTGGTGTGATTATTTAATAGCTTGTAATGCACAAATTATTTTTATATCTTAGAGAATATAAGCAAAACTTTTTTTCGCCTGGTTAGAAAGCGCTTCGGTTCCTCGATTCCGCAACGAACCCGGCAAATGTAACTCATCGTCTGCGCATCGACATAAAAAAATCTCAGAGGCGGGAGCGTGACACGAGGGGGAGGGGTCGCGCAAAACTGCGAGCGGTCGATCGTGGCCGGACTTTTCTCGCGGAACGCTCGAAACGATCTCTCTCACGATTTCCCCTGTGGAGGAGGATCGCGCACTCCGTTGATCGGTAATTCGTACGTGGCCGTACGATAAATACGAGAAGGAAGAGTGGCGGCTCTTCTAGGTACTCTCACGAACAAGAAGACATTCCCTCCTCCCCGCTCGCGAATCGCGAATCACCGGCATCATCGCGGAGGATCGGCAACCGATAGCTATGTAGCGGCGTCGAGGCGCAGACCGCGGGCCATAGAATTATGCATTATGCCGAATGCACTCGCTAAGCAGTATGATCGGCTCGAATGGCGCGGCGGCGGCTGCAAGGGGTTGGCGGGAGCGGGAAGGGAACGATAGGCGGAGGCTCTCTCCGGTGGTAGATGATTCTCGTGATTTCATGATCCGCAATATATCGAGGGAGGATCGGTGGCGGCTACAGCGGCGGGGAGACGGATAACGAGCCGATCGTGACTCGCCGCTTTCGTACGGTAGCTTATACGCGAGAGCTGTTGTAGCAGCCGGCGCAAGCGAGATTCGCTGTCCCATTGGCGAACAGAGTTGCCTCGAAGAATGGCGAGAGAGAGAATGAGAGTGGAGAACTGCCACTTTATCGCGGCCACTTATCGGTCCGGTTCGCCTCTAAATCGGCCCAGCGGTTTAGTTGGTTTAGAGATATGCATACGTGAACGGATAAAGATGGCGATGAGAAGGAGAGGATAGGGGAAAATCGTATAGAGCGGCAGATAAGTGTGTAGCGCTAATGTAAAACGCAATAATATGCCGCAACGATAGGGATGCCCTTTCACGCTTCTGATTTTTTTTCGATGCGTTATTATCTTTCACTTTCTCCTTCTTTCTCCACTTTCAGTATTCTTTACATGTAGACACTCCGTCTTGATTTTTCTCATCTTCCCTTGAAAGTAACTTTCAACTACTGTAATTACAGTCGATAGATAAAATCGATTAATAACACAGTGGATAGAATAAGAAGTTAATAATAAATTAAATTAAACGAATAAGATTCAAAGAATATATATAGAGTTGGATTTAGATATTATCGGAGTTTGAAAACAATTCTCAGATAAGCAAAAATATATTACGCTAACCAGATTATGTGCATTGAGTATACAATCTACGATCACACGCTTTAACGAGATCGTTTTTCGCATTCTTCGTGTAAACGTTTTCACGCGATTTTCTAGTTTCTCCTCTAATGTCACCGTAACCTGCACCAGACACCATTATCGCACCCAGCGTACATATACAGACGCGACGCGTCCCCTCGTTTCTCTTTTCGCTTTGTTTACACGCCGCACGGTGCGAACACAGGAGGCCCGATCGATCGATGCCCGCGATCGATCGTTACACACGCATGCAGGGAGACGGAAAGTACCACGGCGGAGGAATGAGTTCGTCCAAGCAACCAACCAACCGAGCGACCGACTGACTGACTGACGGACGGGGAAGTTTATCGAGTTGATATCGAGTGGAAAAGAATGCGCTAACGACGCTGACGTAAATAAGGATCCTCGTCGGAGGATTCGGTACTGTCAGCGGAGTGACTCTTGTTAAGCGTCGGGACTTGTCGTCGACTGTCGAGCCCTCGATGTTGAAGGGGTCGCTAATCGCCCGCGGCTCTCGCTGCAATTCAGATTGTTCTCAGACGGTATTCGTTTCTTTCCGCCTGTGGAATTATTTGTGCTATCAGTGCTGGTTAAAGTAGATGTATTTGTGAATTAGTTTAGATTAATCTTCAATCATTCTCGCAAACGAAAATATCACCGTCACAGTTTTTTAGTCGGGAAAAAATATAGCTTTGTTTCTTAAAATGCCAAAGTTTTTTTTTCTGTACATCCGTAATTGTAACAAAGTAATTTTGATTATTCAAACTTATTGTATTTTTTACACTTCGAATAGTCAAGTAGAAAATAAAATGTCTTTAGACTGAAATATTTGCAGTATCTTATTAGTAGGCGCGGTTTTACTTGACGATCGAGCGAAGGGTGCGATTTAGACAAATTAATCAATAATAATGAGCGTGGCTATTAGTAATTAGCGTTAGTAATTTGATAGCGAAGGTACGTCCGTGATCAAAGCACTCGGGCACTCGTTCTAATCTCCGTGCGCGACCGACGTTTTAATCACGTCGTCCGATATATAGCGCGGACGGCATTCGTATTAACCGAACTTCAATCTACGCCCTAACGCCGAATTATCGAATAATATAACGTATTAGCGTGATCCTCGGCCGCGCGGGTATTAATAAATTAATATCGAAGGCACGAGGCGCGTCCGCGCTCGCCCTCGTTACGCATTCCTCTCGCTGTGCGACCGAAATTGTAATCTTGTCCGATAA